CTATATATATATATATATATATATATATATATATATATATATATATATAGGTCAGATATAGGTCTGATCTCAAGTTCATCTCCCGATCTTTCGCTTTCGCTGTAGCCAATTTCTTGTCAGTTTGTCAAATACGGTAACTCGGGTTAGATGGATTTTCTTGATATTTGGTAGTTAAGGTCCTCATGAGACTTTGAAATGAGATAGATTGCGAGTCCCCTGGCGGCATGTTATGGAACTGAAGCGGAAGTTCCGGTTTTGACATCTCGTGATCTGGACATGCTATAAGTGACATTAATTAGCAAAGTGAGAGAGGTGTGTTTGAGTATACGAAAATCCCAATATAGTACGTTCTACCAAGGACATTATACACATTAGGTCCTTGGTTCTACTAACCTGATGAAATTATATTCTTCAACAGAAAACAGTTACACGTCCGCAAATGAGGGGTACACGGAGATACAAGGATCTCACTACATGATGTTCACACAGGCCCTGGTTTACACCGAGGCGAAGCAGGTTTGTGCATCTGAAGGGACCCATCTCGCCCATATCAAGACACAGGAGACTCACGACTCGCTGGTCAACATGATTCAGACGCAGACGGCTGGCACGGTTGATTCATCAAGCCAGGATTACTGGATTGGGTTTACTTATGTGTCAGTAAGTACATTTTTTCGGAATTTTTGGCGACGTCTCAGGGAGGAGCCTAATGGTACAGTATTGTGTGCAATTCGCAAGAATTCTAGGAATTGTACAGGCATTTTGTCCACAGGAATGGAATGTCCACAGGCATGTCTCTGACCCACATCTATGCCCACATTCCTGGAAACCCATGGGAAGACCCAGATGACCTGTCTGCCACGGATGGCCCTACTTTCTGTGACCCCGGGGCTCGTTCACTATACACTCGGGGGAGGGGTGCACTGTATCTGTCTTGCTCAAAATCATGAAACGATGGCAGTGCCATGCAAACAATAACCCTAACATGAACCACCGTCGCCATGGCAATGTATGTTTTCATTGCCAGTCTTCTTGTCCTAACTTTCCCCTTTTCGCATCCGGTAAGTTCATTGTGCACTGAAACTAGGTGTACGTGTTAACGTTACTGTAACAATGCAGTCCTAAGTCATACATAGGTACATTTGTATTGTTACCTTCGCCAAGAAGGTTATG